CTTGGCCGCTCAGCATGTCAGGCTCCCGGGAAGGGGCGGCCTGGCCCAGGGCTGCCAGAGGTTGGAGGCGGAGGCGGGGGCATCGGGCAGGCCCTGAGGGGCCGCTTAGTTTTGGAGGGTCCGCCTTCCTCCCTCCAAAGGGCTAGGAGGCTGTGGCCTTGGCCCCGCAGGGTCTAGCTTGGTGCCCGTTAAGTCTGGCTGTTGGATGAGAAAATTGTTCTGTTTTTTGTGGGATTTTTCTCCCTCCAGACACCCTTTTCAAATCTGCGTGGATTTGCCTCAAGAGCCGCGGAGTCTTGTGGTATCTAGTTAACTGATTCAACCAGCGGACCCTCTGTGTGTCAGAAACTGCAAGGAGTTGCTAGCCCAGTGGGGCAGGCGGACTGGAAGACCAGGAGAGTCCAGGCCCACGGCAGTGTGGTGAGTGCTGTGCTGGAACAGAGGAGCACCAGACTATGGGTACCTGGTACGCGGCAGAATGCTTCAGGTCAGAAGACTTTCTGGAGGAGGTGACCCATGAGCTAGAGTGGTCCAATGACGTCTAATTCAGACAGAGGAACAGCCTGTGTGAGTGGAAGCAGACCTGGGCACTCTAATGGAAGCAAGGTGATGGGGGAAGGGCTACTTTGGGGGATAGCTGCCCATGGCCCTGTCCACAAGCTTCAGGTGAGAGGAGAGTGCCTCGTATTTTGCCCTGTATGTGGAGGGTGCTCAGTGAACCCTTGCAGCATAGGCATGGATCAGGGCATTTCCTGCTTCAGGACAGAGGCCCCTAGCTTTTTTTTTCCCCCCTAATCTGACATCTTTAAGATGGTGTAAAAGAATATTAGAGTCCCTCTCAAGGCTGAGACTAGTGTCTTCTGCTGTGAAGTGACACCTAAGGCTAGTGTTGTTCTTTGGCCAGAGATCCTGACCCTGAGAGCAACGCTTGGAGGACATCACTTTGTAGCTTATGGCAGTCTCACATGTTCCCAGTTTTGCAGAGAATCACTGTCCACTTAAGCATGTATAGAATGATTTTCCAAGATGCTGCTGCTTCTCAGCCTATATCACATCTGGGACAGCAGGTTCCATGATTTAGCTCTCTTTTAAACTAATCATGATTTCCTTTGGCTTGTGCTTAAACTGCCCTTGAAGTGTCCAGGGTGCACTCTCTAACTTTGGTTCTGGACCTCAAAGGCCAGCCTGTCTGTTCACTTCTCCCTACTCTTGAGATGTTTAGACTTTGAATCCTTTTCTTTTAGGGCCTCATTTGCAGAGAGCCAAGCCTGTCCACTGTGTGGCCTAGCCAAAGAAGCCACGTAGCAAGGATGGAGTGAGTTGGCTGGGGGCCTCATCCCAGAGATGCTGTCATACTGAGCCACCCTAGTTCTCTGAGAGCTCAGCAGGCAGTCGTGGTGGCGACTAAGCATTGTCTGTGGCTTGTGATGGGCCCTTATGCCCTGTTGAATGCTCTGAAATAGCAAGTCTGGGAGAGTACTTACTTTGCCACTGGTTTAGCCTGGCCACAACTGATCTCTTTTCATTCCTTGAGTACCTTCTGGGTGCCTGGCTTCTGATTAGAGTGTGCCTGAGGCTGGAATGAGAGAGGAGGGAGAGGAGGCAGCAGTGGTGGCACTATCCTTGCCCATGGGTCGTTCATAATCTCGCTGAGATTGCTGCTTCATCCTGGCAGCTGGTCACGTGACAGGGAGGACCTCATCAGAAGGAGAGACTGTGGGTGCAGCTCTGAGGAATGAGTAAGGTGAAGGAATCTGGGGTCTGCTCATTTCCTGAGAGAACCTCGCTTTTTGACTGCCCTCCCACAGCCTTGGAAGAGTCTGAGGCTGGATGCAAGACCTTGGCCAATGTGTGGCCACGCTGGCTGATAGTGTGCATTGGGCTGGTGGGTGTGTCCCTGGCTCCTGGAATCTGTCAAGGGTTTAATTTTATGCAGATGGGGGTTGTCAGGAAAGGCTGTGATGCAGGCATGTGCAAGCCCAGACAGGGTGTTGGAGTGAGAGTTAAACTTTGAAAAAGTTGCTCAAATCTAGCAATTTTGACTTTTGAAGTGCACCGGAGTGAGACATAAGCGTGTCCTTGAGTAGGGAGGGCTGGTAGCTCCTGTGGTCTCTGGGGTTTGAGCTGGGGATGTGGAATGAGCAATATAGTGTTTATTCTCAGAAGGAGCAGAGGGGAATGGAAAGTCTGGATTACTCTTCTTGGAGGCTTAGAAGAGAGTGTTTGTTTAAGAGGTGTCATTGCAGAGCAGAGGAGTAAATGTTTGGGTAGTGAGCTCTCCAGCTTAAATAAGACATGAGCCTGGTCACAGATCTGCTCTAGACCTTATAGGAAATGCTTGCTAGACTGTAGCCTGCTCTGTACCTGGCACTCCTGAAGGCCCAGGGTGTGGCTGAAATCCTGAGGCCCGGTACTTGTAGGAGCTTGGAGTGACCAGGTCAGAGGCATAGAAATATGTGAGATTCTAGAGTATTGTTCCAGCTACCTGTTTTTTCCAGAAAGCTTTCCTTCCTTGGTGAGCATTAGAGCCAGTGATTGACTAGTTCCAGGGTTATTCCCTGATAGTCAGTGTGCTGCATTACTCTTTCCTGAATTAATGTTTCATCTCTTTTAGCAATCCTGGGACATGGAGATTCCCCAGTTTCTGCCTTGTTATCACCTTCACTGTCCTCTAGGCTGGACCTTCCTTCTCTCCAGGGATCAGCTGGGCAGCTGGCTGCTTCAGGTCTATTGCTGTTCCTCTAGTACCACTGGTGCTTTGACTGGTATAAATTATGCCTGGTGCTGGGTTGCCCACTGATACCATCATCTCATTTAGTCCTCAAAATAGCCCTATGAGATGTAGGTCCTAATATTATCACCATTACATAGATGGGAAAACTGAGGCTCAAAGAGTCCCTGTAAATTGTCTAAGGTCCCAAAGCCAGGAAGTGATTGTGAGGCTGAGTTTTAACTCTGGGGCTGTCTGGCCCCAGGGTGGGTGTGCCTGCCTGCTGGACTGTACTGCCTTGCCCTGAGCTGGGCACATGTTTATTGTGAGTCCTGTGATATCTGGGGCAGAAGTGACTGCTTACTTGAACTCGAGGCACCATGTTCCTGTCTATGTTGCTGTCTGCCTTCTGGTCAGATCCAGACAGGGATATCGGAGGCTACTTTGTGAACCACAATAACGTCCTTGACCTGGGCAGGCCTGCTCTGCCAGGGCCAAGTGTGGCTCCTCCTCTTGGGAGATCCGTATACTATTAGACAACAAATATTACTAAGTAGTATGTCAGGTATGCAGGAAGCCCTCTCTTAGCCTCAATTATCTATCTATAGATCTATGTCTGTAATGGAGATGTTTATCTAGTTTACAAGATTTTGGTTAGGATTGGGTCATAGAAATGAAAGATTTTTGGAAACATGAATAGTGGTTATCTTAGCCTAGTTCCCAGAGAACAGAGCCCAAGGCAGAGCTTAAGTCCTTAATGCTTTGTTGGAAGGTACAGTTGCAGGGCAGCAAAGGTAAGGGAAAAGAAAAGTGAGGAAGAGGAAGGTGAGGTAGAGATAGAGAAGGAGAGGGCAGCAATTACAATGTGGTGCTTTAGCAAGCTGGCCAGTCTGCACAGAGGTGCACTAGTTGTTTAGCCATGCAGCACATCTCTGGGCAAGCTCTACAGAAACTCCATGCTGAAGAACTGCTTCTCAGTAGAGGCCTGGAGAGGGGATTTATCTGCTGACGTCCTCTTGTCTCTGTTCTTCATTGGTCAGAGTTGCCTCATGAGGAGTTAAATCCCCCATGCCCACTCCTCAGTTGCACTCCCAGGTTCTCCAGCAGCCCCTGAGGAGGCCAGCATGGCACTTGGTTGAAGTCTGGAAGTAGTGGGAGGAGCCAGAGATTTGGGGCCTGCATAGTCTCCTCTCCTGGGTCTGAAGCAAAGCAAGTGGACATAGGTGAGGCCAGGAGGGTACAAGGTGGTACATTAGATGCATCCAGTATAGTGGTGTGTGGATTTTATCCTTTCTATAGTTCCTTATTAGTTAGTCTTGCCTAGACTGCCAAGTCTTTGCCAAGACTATGATTGAAAACCCAGCTTGGCTTTTGCATGTTGAATTTTACAGCCTTTTCTGCTACTTCATTGCCTAGTTACTGAAGCAGGAGACTTTGTGGTTTTGATGGTACCCAAGTGGGAAGTACAAGTCAACATTTTCTGGTACCAGATAGAGAAGATACAGTCAGCCCTCTGTATCCATGAATGTGAAATCTTTGAACACAGAAGACTGACTGTACTATGCCTTTTTATAAAAGACACTGAGCATCCGTGGATGTTGCTGTCTGCAGTGCCTTTTGGAATCAATACCCTGCAGGTACTTGAGGGACAACTGTAAAGGGATAGGCATTAACATCTAGGCTTTGTCAGGTTCTCAGTGAATGAGAATTTTTTCATGTGAGATAGTAGTTCAGGATATGAAACCTGGAGTCATGAGATGGGCTGGAGAAGGCAGTAGGGCCAGGTCACACAGAGGCAAAAAGGCCCTTAGGACTGAGGAGTTTGCACTTTACCCAGAGGGCAGTGGAGAGCCTTTGGAGGAGTCTTAGGGGGAGAGAGACCAAGTGGGCTGCAGTAAGCCGCGCTGGCTATTGTGTAGAAAGGAGTTTGGAGAGAGGTCACATGAAATGAGAGACCAGTGCAGGCAGAGGCTAGTATGACTGCAGGAGAAAATTAGAGGTGGCTCAGAGCAGAGCTGGGTGATGACTAGGTGTGACATCAGGAAAGGAGAGTACCAGAGACAGACGCTTGTGGGCTTAAATGAATATCCATGTGCTTAGGTGGTATGGCCTTCCTGACCCTCTGTACAACGCTTACTGGATTGAGCGCGCAGGTCCTCTTGGCTCTGCCATCCAGAGTTGGCCATACCACTGGGAGGCAGGGCCGCTGGGGGGAGCCCTGTTCAGGCAGATTTTACCCCTTAACAGAAGGCAAGCAGCCTCTTGTTCAGAGCCAGGCAAGACCTGTTTGTTCTCAGCAAACCCATGTTCTGTCTCTAGGCTGTTAAATACATTGTTAAAACTCGAGCTGTTGCATTTGGGTTGCAGCTGGGAGCTTGGCAGAAGTTCCTGCTAGATGAGGTAAGGGGAGAAGCTAAGGACACTCCTGGTTTGCAGCTGGAAACATCTTTTTGGCCATTTGGCCAGGTTGTAAATGTCCTTTCCAAAGAGCAGGCTCACTGGGGCCTCCGATTGTATGTCTTGGAATTCCCTTGTGCTTAGAAACAGTGCTGGTTGCCTAGTGGGAGAATCACTGGCCTTGGGGTGTTGGCAGGCTTTGGAGGACCTCCTGGTGGGGATCCAAACTCAGGCTGCCACAGTGCTTTGGAGTCCAGTTGAGAGAGCCTGCTCTGTTTTCTTTTCATTTCAAGTATATTCTAAAATATATTTTAAATTTTCCAGAGAACTCCTTGTGGCAAGATTAGAGACTATAAGTAAACATAAGTAGAAAAATAAAATTACTTCACTAAGATACTAGTAGATTTATGACTCTGTGTACATGTATGCAAATATGTAAGTTTGCATGTATTTAAAATTTTTTTCCTGTAAAATTGAAATCATAGAGTACATGTTATTTCGGAGCCTGCTTTTCTCAAAGTAAGCTTTGATCTTCTCTCCCTGTTAATATGCATACAGTATCCATCCTTAACATAATCCATGATATGGAAGTATTGTAACATCTTTTGTTGTAGTTTCCTGGCATGAGCAAGTCTGTGGTGAAGTATTGTTTATTGGGGGTCTGATATGGGCCAGACTTTTTTCTAAACTTGGAATACAGCGCAGACAAAACTCAATATTGGTTTTTCTGCTCAGGCTTGGTGCCGTTTTATTTTCATAAAAGTAGGTTTGACATTGCCCATTTCCAGGCCTATTCGACATGGGTTTCTGCGGGTTCCTGGGAGGGCTTTTGGCAGCACTGAACACTGGTGGGGGCACTAGGCAGACACGTACACTTCCACCTACTCTGTCCTAAGCAAGCTCTGGGTATAGACAGGAGATGGGATGGACGGCATGTAGGTGGTTGGCTTTTCCCACACTGTGGGACACAGCCCTTGTTGGAGGCTGCCTCCTCCCAACCTGACCCTGATTAGATGCCCTTTTGTATACCTCATACAAATTAGTGTTCAGGGGCCCAGGATCAGGAGAAATGGGGTGGGGCTCCAGCGCATACCTGCTTGGGGTGGCAATGTGATGGTGGTGGGCTGGGGGCTGCACGAGAGTGTCTGGCTCTCTGGGCCTGCAGGTTGTCCCCTTCCTCCATCAGAGCAGGACTTCACAGACTCTTGGCAAGCCATTTCCCAGAACCCCATCTGTGATTCTTTGGGGCTCTGCCTCCAGGCTGGGATTCATGGATAGGCTCAGTCTAAGCCAGATAGCACATTCCAGAGAAGTGACAGCTGGTATTCATGTAATGAAGGAACCTGGCTGCTTTATCGTGAGTAAGGCATGAATCATGAACTGTGTCACCAGGGTGATTGGAAAGGAGCAGAGAGGCTTCTCCTTCCCTTGAATTTATTACCTGATCCCTGAAAAGACATACCACTGCAACTGGTGGCACAACAGGGGAGAAACCCTGGGACCCCCTACTTCCAGCCGTGGTTGGTCTGGTCTCCTGCTTGGGCTCTGCTCTCCCACCACCCCAGCCTGTCTGGTAGTTGGCTGTTTCCTCACTGTTCACAGATACAGCCTCCTGGTTCTGGGTTTTTTCTCTTCCTTCCCTTTATACATACAGAAGTGCACTCTTGAGCTGATGAAGCTTCTTGAAGTACAAGGAGCAGACACTGCCCCTTGTGAAAGCGGCTTGTGTAAGCAAGAACAGAGGCTTTCTGGAATCCCGGGGTGGAGATGCAGTATGCTAAGGCCTGGGGGCAGACCTGTGGCTGGAATAAGGGGGACCTGGGCTTCACCTTGGGGCCAGGCTAGGCCTGCTCACCTTCTTTCAGTGACTTGCTTTCCTCTGCTGCCTTAACTGTATAATGATTCTCTTAGCCCATACTCCCTCCCCTGCAGCAGGTTCTGGACTGGAGGATCTTGTCCTGTGTATCTCTGTGCCCCTAACACCTAGGGCATTGATGGGCATGATACCAGCTCTGCAGACATTTGGCAGGGGATGAACAAATGGGGACTCTCACTTGTTCTCTCTTCTCCCTCGTATAGAAACCCATTTGGGGGTGGGGTTGTGGTTGGCTTCTCTGAGCCTAACCTGGAACCACAGTGGATTGGCATTTCTTCTGAAAGGGTGAGGTGAGGAATAGTGGATGTGACTGCATCTCATCAATTATGGCAGTCAAAAAGCTGATGCACTGGCAGCTAAGACTTCGAATTGTCTCAGATAAGGCTTATGTTTTAGAGGAAAGCATTTGTATTTCCTTTATTTCCCTTGTTTTCTTTTAGTAAATTTCCAGTGGGGCTTGGCTGAAGTAGAGCAGGAAGAGGAGGGACTGACAGAACTGTCTCAAGTGGGTGCTCTTCCTCCAGCAGGCTCGGGGCTGGGAGGTGACGTCCTGAGCTTCCGTTGTGTACTTGGGTCCACTGCCAATGGGGCTTGTCCCACGTTGTGCCTGCTGCCTTCAGACCTGGGTCTGGCTATTTCTAGGTTGATAAGAAGATAACAGCTGGCCTCTGACTCATGTCAGAAGCTCAGCATAAGATGTTGGCCCTGTGTGGCTAATTCATTCATATTCTGAGTGCCTAGCTCAGTGCCTGGCATATGTGGGTCTTTAGTAAATATTTGTGAGTTGTGTCTCTCCACGAGGACAGTGTCTGCCGAGGAGCCTCACTACAGGAAGAGCAGTGTCTGCCCAGAGTGCCTGCTCCCCAGCTGCTCTGGCTGCAGCCGGGTGCAGACTGGCAGGGAGCAGTTTTATTTCTCTTCTGGCCCGCCATCTGCTGTACACTTTTTTCGGGGTGTGGGTCCCCTGGAACATATTGTATCAAGTTCTCTTTCTTGTCATTGTCTCTCCTATACTTTTCAGTCTTGTGGGTGAGGACGTGTGTTACATCTGGGTCCCCAGAACCTACCCTGTCCTGGCACATGTGCTCGTAGGAAAAACAGAAGCAGACAAGCGGTCTGTGAAACAAGGTGGAATGGGCCAGAATCTTAAGACTGACAGACTATTAGAACCAGAGGTGACTGTCCCCCTCAGTTCAGCCTTCCCATGTTGCTGGTGGTTACCAGAAGTTGAGAGGGCAGAGTCTCTCCCAAGGGCATTTGGCCTCCCAAAGTAGGGGCCAGAATTAAGCACACATCACTGTACACCCTGGCTGGCATCTTTCCACTGGTGATCCTGAATATTTTTCTTAGCTTCTGTGTGCTCGGTAAGGATTTAGGCATGTTTGAATGTGTGTGTATATGTGCATATGTCAACGTGTGTCCTCACCTAAGTCGCTTTTTACCTAAGTTGCTTTTTATCATTGTTGATCCGATGATTATTATCACTGAATGCCTTGCAGACACTGCCTTCTGTGACCATGAAATTCTGGATGTCCACGTTGCTGGTGGCATGGTTTGGTGTCCTGGGCTGTGTGCGGGCTGAATTCTTCACTTCTATTGGTACGTGCCAACAGGACTGTTGTCTACCTGAGCAATCCTTGGCTCAAGTGCCAAGGGATGTCACTGCCTGAGGGCTGTTCTCATTCAGTGTGGGATGGCTTCACCCACTGGTTTTGACCAGATCTGGAGAGAGTGAGGCTTGCAGAGCTGTTCTTCCTTACTCTTTTTTTTAAACAATCTTTTAATTTTTTCTTTCACTTATTTTATTTATTCTATTTTGGGGAGAAGGTAATTTGTTTGTTTGTTTGTTTGTTTATTTATTTATTGAGGAGGTACTGGAGATTGAACCCAGGACCTCATGTATGCTAAGCATGTGTTCTACCACTTGAGCTATATCCTCCCCTGCTCTTCCCCACTCTTGAGCCCTGATGATCTGGATGTTTTTCCTGTGAGCCAGCTGTCTCAACTGGACCTCCTTTCTGGCAAGTGCAGGCTGCACATTGCCACCTTTCTCCTGGACCAGAGAGTGGTTTGAACAGAAAAGCCCCCAGGATGTCCATGTCCCAGTGACATGACCCAGCTGGGTGACAGTGGGAGAATGCGGTTTGGGGTTCCTTTCTTAAGTAGTCCCCAGTGCACTTAACATCCTCTTAGAGGCTCTGCCTTTCTCTTCCTGAATCTGGGGGCCAGGACCATAAGAATGCCTCAGACCCCTTTAACTTCAGGTCCCTGTGACCCAAGAGAGCTGACATGCCTGTGGCCCAGGGGACTTGCCTCTGTGCTGGTGTTCTGTGCCTCAAGGATGAGAGCTGGATGTCCCTCATCGATTTCTTACTGGCCCTTTTTTCTTTCTGTTGCAGGGCACATGACGGACCTGATTTATGCAGAGAAGGACCTGGTGCAGTCCCTGAAGGAGTACATCCTAGTGGAGGAAGCCAAGCTCTCCAAGATTAAGAGGTGTCTGATGTCCTAAGTCCCCATACCCACCCTGGGCCAGCCCTCCTGCCCCACTAGGAACCCATTCAGGGTGCCCATAAGAAGAAGCCCTTGAGAGGGCAGTGTGGGGCAGGCCTGGAGGTTGCTTCATGCCAGCCCTCCAGAGTGGCCAAGTATGTGGGCTAAGGACTTACTGATTTTTCCTTGCTATTTAAAAGCCTTTTTGCATGTTACTAGGTTTCCCAGTTCTCATCTAGATTAAGGAGCTGGAAGTATCAGTGGGGAGTTACTGTATTCATTTTTTATTGCCTCTTGGTGAAAAAAGTCCTGAATCTTACCAGGGAAATTACCACAGGTGGAGATTCATGTGAGTGAGTGTGTTAGTCCTCCTTTGTCTCTGGTTCCATAGCTGGGCCAACAAAATGGAAGCCCTGACCAGCAAGTCGGCTGCTGACCCTGAGGGCTACCTGGCCCACCCTGTGAATGCCTATAAACTGGTGAAGCGGCTGAACACAGACTGGCCTGCGCTAGAGGACCTTGTCCTGCAAGACTCGGCTGCAGGTGAGGGAGAGTGAGCAGGTGCTTGGGTGAGCTAGTAAGCCCATGTGCTTGCACCTGGGAAGGCTCTGAGCCTGTCCCAGATCTGGGTGTTGGTGGGCACATGAAGTGTGTGACATGGAGCCTGCCGGTCACCTGGCTCTGTCTCTTTTCTGTGGGGACCTGGCTATCCTTGCTTTTAATATATAATAACAATCAGTTCTTAACTTTTCCCTAGTGTTTTCACTTCCCTTTTCTGGTAGGAACTTTATTCTGATTACATTTTAGTAGCATGTTTTTATATAAAAATTGCAATTGAAGCAATTGTATAGGAAAATTACAGTTTTTAATCCAATTGTCTAGTGATAAACACTATTAAAGTTCTAGTCTTTATACACATGTATATATAAAAAAGAAAAGGAACCCTACCTATGTACCAGGGGATGCAAATGCACTTGCTCTGAGGGGCCAAAAGAATGAACAAAAGTGAGTTAAGTGGACTGAATGGCGGGACCGGCACGAGCTAGGGAGCGTGGGCCTCATCTAAATTCACTCCTGCTCATATCTTTTAGAAATAAAACATATCTGTTGGCGGATTTATGACATAAGCACATTCTGTTTTCCTGAATTTTTCAGCATCTCTGTATGTTCTTTAAGTGTTCTTCTGGAACATGGTTTTAATGTCTGGACGGTAATATGTCACAATGATATAGTGTAAAACTGGTCAAATCAGTGGATGTGGAATTGTATCCAAATCATAAGCGTATCTTACACATATCTTTGTGCCTATCTCTGATTATTTTCTTAGAATAAATTCCTAGAAGTGGTATTTGCAGGTCAGAATATGAGGTTTTTTTTAAAGCTTTAACTTGCTTTTACTGTAGTAGTACTTTCTATGCTCTAAAATTTTTCTCTCAGCAGGAGATGGAGGGGCAGGCCTGGAGGAAGGCTCTCCTGACTTCCAGCCTTGGGCCCAGCCCCTCTGGACTCACTGTCTCTTCTCCCTGAGTTGGGAGTGCTGGTTAACTTCAGACTAGTTGTCTTTCTGACTGAGGCGTTTTTGCCCATGTGGCCAGACTGGGCTGGGCTTGGCTGTGAGCAGGATGGCGTCTGGGGAGGGATTGGTGAGCTCAGCCAGGCTGGAGCTGTGCCCAGTGAGCTCACTGCCTCCAGAAGTCATGGCTGCCTCTCCCAGACCCCTGCCTTCCAGCCTGGGCCTGTAGTCAGAACTGGCTGTTCTGCCTGCACTGTGGGATATTCAGCCTGCCCAGATGACCCTGCTCTCCAATCTTGTTCTGCACCCCCCCCACCCCCACCATCACCATCTGGTTCCTTTGGAAAACCTTATAATTAGCTGGAGGGAGATAGGACAGTCCCCGAGAGCAATAGGTTGTTTTCACTTCTTACTTACAGAGTTCTTTCCCCCGAAACGGGGGAGGGGAACAGAGAGACATGCTGACAATGCTACTTTCTCTGGGAGCACTTTTTTTCCCCTGGCTTATAAACTCTTAGAGTCCCTGACCATACAGCCATGATGAAGACAGGGTTGCAGCTTCTTGGTCCCTGGGTCCCCAGACATAGCTGAAAGTGAGTGTGTGAGCCTGAGGTTGTGAGAGTAGGCGGCTGTGGGTGTTGCTTCTCTGAGGAAGAGGCCAGAGAAGAAATGGCCTTGGAGTTTCCCTTCCAGTTCTCAGCTCATGGGCAGAAATGAAGCCTCTGGATCAGCCTGGGAGGGCCTGGCCCTCACCTGGAATCCTGAGATTGCAGGAGGTTTGTGTCTTGCTTTACAGCTAGGACTTGGAGTCCCAGAACTGCTTCTTTGGCTATTCTGTGGTCCGGGGCTCTCCCAGGCTCCAGGCTGTGTTCTTGAGTACCACACTTGGGGAGCTCATGTCCTATGTCATTGCAGGCCTGAGTCGGAGCGTACCCTAGTAAACAGCAAGGGTTCAGTAAAGTCTCTCAGGGTGACTGTGCCTGGCTTGTGCAGCCCCACCTCAGTGCTTAGCCTGGTCAGATGGTCTTCCAGTCCCTAATCTGGGAGTAGGGACAGCACCAAACGCCTCTGTGACTGTCATTATCACCTTTCTGGATGATAAAGGCCAGTGGTGAGTAAGGAGTAGCCAGCTGGGCTCTCTGAGTTGATCATCTCTGTTCTTGGGCTCTTCAGCCTGAGGTGTGGGCTGGAAGTCTGTGTTTACCTGGCCAACCCAGTAATCCTGGATCAAGGTTTTCCATGTGATTCATTTTCTACTGAGTGGTTGGCAAGTTCTCCCTGCATCCTCTCCTGTGTCCCTGTCAGTTACCCTCACTGTCCTCTGTCCCTTCTGTCTACAGCAGTTACGACTGCATGCTTTGGAGCCAGGACTCCCAGACTCCTCTGTGTCAATTAGTGAGTGAGGCCCTTTCTGTTCAGTTTCAAATGAGCAGCACAGGTAGTCGGTACAGTGAGGAGTAAGGAAGGAGAGGTCTCCGTGGACTGGAGCCACCAGGGAGGGCTTCCTGGAGGAAGGGGAAATAGCCTCTGAGGGAAGGGGCAGAGAGATTGCACTAGCCAGAGAGACCCTCCGGTGGTGCCTCTCTGGTTCCAGGTGGAATTCTACCCCTGGACCAAGGGTAACCTTCTGCTCTCACTCTCTCCTTTGGAAGGTTTTATTGCTAACCTGTCAGTGCAGCGACAGTTCTTTCCCACTGAGGAGGATGAAACAGGAGCCGCGAAGGCCTTGATGAGGCTTCAGGACACATACAAACTGGACCCAGACACGATTTCCAAAGGGGAACTTCCAGGTAATTCACCACACTAGGCTCTGCCCGTCCAGCCTGCGTGTCTACTGCTGTGGCGGAGCCACTGCTGCTGGTGGTCTCCAGCCCCAGGTGAAGCGCTGCCTCCAGCAGTGATTCTCTCTTGGGTTTCTAGTGGGTGCCAGTCCCTTATTCCCATGACAGCTGCCTTCCCTTAGTCCCTACCCAACCAGCTCCCTCTGGGAGTAGCCCAGGCCCTCTCTTTCATCTCAGAGAATGTGGAGACTGCTGCTCAGGACCCCCTTGGCCTCTGCCCCCAGGGCACCACTCAGGTCTGTGTACAGACCGACGTCTGTCCGCAACCTCAGATTTCTTCTTGCCCAGGACTGATCTCTGGACTCACTGCCCTGTATCCTGTGTGCCCTCAGTTTCAGTCTCTGCCCTTGTTCATTCTGTGTCCACTTCTCTGGGCTCTTCCCCCTGAGCTCACACATATGCTCTGTTCTTGCTCATTTTACAAACGTAAGGATCAGAGGTCCTTTTGAGTCTCTGCTGCTGATCGATCTTTTCTCCCTCCTGATTAGGCAGCTGGATAGACTCATCTACACTCTTCCTCCACTTCCTTGGTTCCTGTGTCCTCCTGAACACACAGAGTCTGGCCTCTTTGCCCTATCCACCGATCTTGGCCCTGCAGGATCACTGGTGGCCTTTGCTGGTAAAGCCATTAGGCAGGTTTCAGGCAGAATGTTCTTTAGCTTTTCGGCAGCGTTTGGCACATTGTATGCCCCATTATTTCTGATATTCTCCCTTCCTTTGAATTCTGAGACACTGATCTTGGCTGCTTCTCTTTTGACACCTCTCTCTCTTTTTGTAACAGGCCCCTTTTCAATTCAACTGATTGTCTTAGTATGTTTATAAGAAGATGTATTGGGGTTTGGGAGCTATTAAAGGCCAATAAACCCCGGCATCCAGTTTATTGCTCACCCGTAAGGGCCCTATGGAGGCACAGCAGAGAGAATCTCGGTGTGTTGGCACTGTGTTGTTGAGAGAAGCACAGTGTTGTTGACTGGTCAAGGCCTGGAGTCCTGATACTGAGGAGTCCAGTGGGCTGACAGGAGGGAGTGTAGAGTTCTTAATCCTTAGTCAGGCCACAAGGACAGAGAGAGAAGGCAGCTTGGGGTACCTGCAAGATCTAGTCACCCTGTAGCTATGAGAATCATGGGTGGGAGGAGGGAGCCACAGCCAGGCATTGACCTTTTACATTCACTTAATAGACCCCTGCATTTCCTGGAGGGGCAGTGAGGGGTGGAGGGGTGTTATTCGCCAGGATGCCATCCCTACCTCATGTCTCCCTAAGCATCTTCTCCAACTGAGCCCAGCCGTTTGCATCACTTGATGTATCATCTATACATGGATGACATCTAGATCTGTGTTCTCTGTCAGCGCCTGTGACCTGAGCTTCCAACCAGTGCAGGCAAGTGCCTGTGGGCCATCTATACTTGGATGTTCCATGGGCTCCTCAAAATTCATGTCCCAAACTGAAATCCTCATCCCCCTTTGAACTGTCCACCCTCCTTCCTCCTTATCTCCACAAAAATTACACCATCCACTTGCTGCTCTGTGGATTCTCCCTCCCTATAATGTCTTCTGTATTTTGAGGGCCTGACTCCAGCCTCATGGTCATGTCTTTCTCAACTGGATTATTGAAATATTGTTCTGACTTATTGTGCACCTCCAGCTCACTCCTTAAATTATCCTCCGTGAGCTCTTAAGCATGTATCTTTTTACATGAGTTTTTGATCACAGTTCTTAACTTTGAGGGCTAAAGCCAAATTCCTCTTACATATGGTGTTTAAGGGCCTACATGGGGCCATCTCCCTAGCCTCCTCACCTGTTGTACTAAGCTACTCCATTGCTCAGTTCCTCTGCAGAGAGTGTGGGATAAACATCAGTGGGGTTTCAAGTCTGATTGCCCTTCCACACTCAGCACTCTCTGGGGAGCAGACTTTCCAGTTGGCTTCTGGGATGGATGCTGAGTGTCTGGGACCCATTCTTGACATTCATGGCATCTGTGAGACGTGTTGCTAATAGCTACTGATATTAACATCCTGGGGGTCATAGCAGACATTTTCATACATCATCTTGTTGAATTCTTGGCACAAGTCCTCTAAAATTGATGGTATTACCTCTATTTAGAGATAAAGAGGCTAAAAATCAGAGAGGCTGAGTAACTTGTCCTTAGTCACACAGTTGGTAGGTGCCATAGTGAGGCCCTCATAGACCTAGCTTTGTCCAGCTCACTCAACTGTGTTATACTGCCTTCATCAGTGTGAGTTCCCTGGCCTACAGAGCTAGAGGAGATCTGTGGAGGCCCATGGAGAGTGGATGGGGCCTCAAGGAACCCCTGAAGTTTCTGGTCTTCCTACTAACTCTGTCTTGTGTTTACTCTCCCCAATTTCCTATCCCACATTGTCTGTTCCTGAGCCGTCAGGGCGAGCAGACCCTGGTCTCTGAAGCAGCCAACCTATTGCAGCAGGGGTTTCATTCTGGACATCCTGGGCATCAGGCAGCAAGAGCCCACTCTGAGGCAGCTCTTCCATGTCAGCCATGCCTAGATTGCTGTTGACGGGTTTGTAGGGAGACGCCCTTCCTTTCCAGGGAGGATCACAGCCTAAACCCTGCATCTTACCATAGCCTACACACCACATCTCCTTCTGCATGACTTCTTCATGGTCACTTTCCAGCTCTGAGTCAACAGCAGAGGACCTGTGGTCAGAGGACCTGCCAAATTGATCCTCAATGAGGCCCCACCACCTAGTGGTCAAATTTGGCACTGCAGTCTTGTCTCCTGGGCTCCCTTGGCATCTGTCACACCATTTCTGCTACCTCTGGTTCTTCTGCCTCTTGGGAACTTCTCAGTGTTTTTCACTCTATGTCCTTTCTGTGTAGGTCATCTCTGGGGGCCTAGCCTCAGTCACCTTCTCTATTCTTTCCTCACACTGTTCCTGGAAGTGGTTATCCTCCTCCATATCTTTAACTGCCACCTAAGTTCTATTTTCTACATTCAACTAGTTTTTCTATCTTCCACACTTAAATGGCCAGATGCCTTGCAAACATCTCCTGTGTGGTGCACGGGACTTTCATACTCTTGAACGCTACTTCTTGGTGGGCTTCCTGGGCTCCTCCATAACAAAGGCCCCTTCCCTCTTGGGGAAAGGGGAGTCTGAGACTAGGAGATTGGTTGTACACACCAGCTCAAGGCAGGGCCAGCCTGGTGTGCTCACTGTACTAAGGCCCTTAGAGGTGTGTGTCTGAAGTGGGACTCTGCTGGGATACTATTTTCCCCTTCCAGAGGCCCAGGCTCCCTCAGTGGGGGAATCTCTCTTACTAACCCAGGGACTCTGTGGAGCTTGACTGTTTGCCTCCTGCTGCAGGAACCAAGTACCAGGCAGTTCTGAGTGTGGATGACTGCTTTGGGATGGGCCGCTCAGCCTACAATGAAGGGGACTATTATCACACAGTGCTGTGGATGGAGCAGGTGCTAAAGCAGCTTGACGCTGGGGAGGAGGCCACCACATCCAAGGCCCAGGTGCTGGACTACCTGAGCTATGCCGTCTTCCAGTTGGGCGACCTTCACCGTGCCCTGGAGCTCACCCGCCGTCTGCTCTCCCTTGGTAATAAGGTCCTAGGGGAAGGTCAGGTGTGGATGGGGAGGTAGCAGGAGAACTGGTCACCCTGCTGGCCCTCTCTGGCCACTATCCAGGGACTGAGCCAGTCTGACATATAGCTCGGCCAGTGACTAGTGCTTTGCTGTTTTTAGGCCCAGACCAGTTGTCACTAGCTCCTTACCCACCTTGCTCCTGGCCTTAGCACTTTCCCAGTTGTCAGTGGATCCCCTCAGGCCTGTGATGCCTCTGGCCCTACATGCTCCCTTTTTGAACAGGAATCCAGTGCTGTAGTATATTTGCTGCTCTGCACAGTGGCGCTTTCACTGCATGAGGAGCAGTTTGAGAGGCAAGCTGTTCTTTCGGGTTGAGGCAGTGACAGTGACCTGACCTGTTAGAGATCTGAGGTCTAACTAGGGGACTTGCCATGGCATTGGTGATTTCAGCGTCTTGTGGTGTTAGACTGAAGGGGATCAAAGGCCCTGTGCTTAAGAACCTATTTGGTCCACCTCTTACTAATATATGGGGATATCATAGTCTAGAATTTCACAGACCAGCAATGACTTCCTTTTGCTGCTGCTTTTCATGGGCCTTGAGTCTGAGGCCAGTTAGCACATGAGTGTCTGCAAGACGGGTATGGGAAGAGAGCTTTGTAGACTCTGTTGTATTAGTAAGAGCCTTGGACAGGGAGTTGGGACATCTGGATTCCTGTTCTGTATACCCTAACCTTAATCTGTTAATCTGTTGACAACTTTGGGCCTCCGTTTCCTCACCTGAGAGGTGGCACAGTAATCCTACCAAGCCTGCTCCTTCATGTTGGGAGGCCCGCAGGATGAAGCTGTGGCAGTGGCACATGGCTGTTCTTGTTGCCAGTGTTTCAGCCTGCCTTCTGGCTGTGGCCAGCATGTGATGTCACCAGTAATGCATGTACTTTAGGGGATGGATGTAACTAAACACAGCCAAGACGGGAGAAGGAGGGAGAACTCTGGACTGCTTCTCTGGACCTGTGTCCTTGGGACCTCCAGGGAGGCCTGAGAGGAGAGCCGTGCTGGTGGCTAAGTGTCCCCCACTTTGTTGCTCCTTTCTCATCTCTGACCAGAGTTGGAGGCACCTCTGTTGGTTTTTCTGCTTTGACCAGCGAACCCCGGTTAGGTGCTGCGGAAGGCAGAATGCTGCGTGCAAGTGAGCTGCTGGGAGAGAAAACCGCTTACAGAATAATTTCTCTAAATGACCTAACAGATGTTTGTGGTTTCCTTTTCCTTCTTGTTCTTTGCTTTTGCTAGACCCGAGCCATGAACGAGCTGGAGGGAATCTGCGGTACTTTGAACGGTTGTTGGAGGAAGAAAGAGAAAAAATGTTATCAAATCACACAGCTGTACTAGCAACCCAGGAGGGCATCTATGAGAGGCCTGTGGACTACCTGCCCGAGAGGGATGTCTACGAGAGCCTCTGTCGTGGGGAGGGTGTCAAACTGGTGAGACACGTGGGTGGGTTGGGGCCCAGGCTATGGATCTAGACCTTGGACAGGCAGCTCTGGGCAAGATGTTCCTCTCTCTGTAGGTAGTTTCCTCAGTTGTTTGTAGCATCTGCTCAGGTTGACGTGTAGGGGCCTTCTGAGATATAGGACAGGAGACTGTCTTTCCTGAGGTCCCAGGCAGAGTTTCAATCCTCCAAGTTATTAGTGAGCTCCCCTCTCCACCCCAGCATGCCAGCTTCTGCTTGTCTCATAGTTCTGAAGAAAACCATGGGTGGGGATGTGACTTGGGCCCTGAAGGAATTCAGGTCTCTAGCAAAGATGAGGCAGTTGCTAGAGCTTAGTATGAGGTATCACTGGCCTTTGAAAGCTCTGGGATCCCAGTGTTTCCTCATGGAGGCTGAGGTGTGAAGAAGGCTCTCGGCCTTTTCTGCATCACTGTCTGCCTGGCTTCCGCACCTGGAAGGGCTTCTTCACCGCCCCAACCCTTCTGACCTACTCACATCTCTTAAGGAAGGGGCCAGGGATTACACCCTGCCACAGGACTTGTGAATGTGAGGTATTCTTGGGATACAAAATATTGCATGATTTGTGGGGTGTCATTTCCTGCCGATCAAACTGAGGGGCTTTTGTTTTCTTCTCTCCTGGGTTAGAAGGGTGTGGCTGCTGGACATGGAGTGTGAGACTAGTGTCTGCAGCCAGCCAGCCTGGCACTGAGGTTTGGGACAGTCACTCAGCTCAGGGCCTGTTTCTCTGTGCTCCCCAGACACCTCGAAGGCAGAAGAGGCTTTTCTGTAGGTACCACCATGGCAACAGGACGCCGCAGCTGCTCATCGCCCCCTTCAAAGAGGAGGATGAGTGGGACAGCCCACACATCGTCAGGTACTACGATGTCATGTCTGACGAGGAAATCGAGAGGATCAAGGAGATTGCAAAACCCAAAGTAGGTGTCTCCGCAGTTCCTCCTCAGGCCACTCATCCCTGGTACCATGGGCAGTTTGGTTGCTTCCCCAGCTGACCTTTGCTGATGTCTGGCATGAAAGTGCTATCTGGTACTGAGGTATTGCAGGCTCAGTTTGACCTTGTGGGTTCACGGTCCAGTAGGGGAAGAAATGAGGGAGCCAATGTGGACAGCCAAGTGCTATGACAGAAGGGCACTCTGGGAACAATGCAGGCTCACAGGGAGAAGTGTCAGCTCACCTGGTTGGGGGCTGGTGTGTGGTGAGGTTTTAGGAAGAATGCCATAGGATACTTCCAAGCTGGGGTCTCTGGAGCTCCTGATTAGGACTGCCAAGGAAGTGACTGACTTGGAGGAGGACAAAAATCTCTTCAACACTGAGTCTTCTCATCCAGGAGTAGTCTGGGGCTCTCCATTTATTCATATCTTTAAAATTTTTCTTCATGTAAGTCCTGCATGTTTCTAGTTAAATTTATTCCTAGATAGTTTTTTTGTTATTGTAACTTTGCTTTGTTTCTTTTATTATGTTTTTACTGATCACATTATTAAATTAGTTGACTATTATATGCTAAGCTATTGATTGTAAAAATATATTTCATAGTAATAGCTACTGTTTCCTGAGTTCTTAAGTGTGGCAGGCCTAAGTCCTTAACATATACTAAGTGCTATGTCTGGGCAGCAGGCTCTGTCCTTGTCTTCATTTTGCCCACAGGAAGCAGATGTGTGGATCACAGCTAGCTACTGAGCTCACTTGCCCCTCTTGTGGTTTTTAGCTGATTACCTTGGGCTGTCCAGGTAGTATTAGCAGCTACCTACTAAGCAGGCAGTTATTTTTGGATAACTAAGGAAATAAGTTATCCAAAGGATAAGGAAAATTCTGTTTTCTCATTCCTGATAGTTACAGTTCTTTTGTTTTTGTTGTCTTGTTGAGCTGCCCAGAACTTTTGGAGCATTTTTATAATGGGAAAATGTCTTGTTCTTGAATTTCCTAGAAATTCTTTTGGTATTTCACTGCTAAGTTGGCCGTTGGTTTTATGTATGTGTCATCATGTTGTAAAATTTTTCTTCTATTTCTAGTTCCTAAAAGATTTTCTCCCATTTGACATCTTTCAAAGAGAACTACTACTTGTTGCCATATTCCTACCCTTCTCCTATCACTGGTGATTAGGAGGGAGGATTTAGCTGGAAATCCTTGATTGCTCTGCTTCTAGTAGAATTGTAGTGGCCTGGAGGCCCAGTGCCTGTGGAGAGATCTAAGATAGGTTCCTGTCCCAGGCCCTGGACCTCATCTTGGAACAACCTTGGCTTGAGGTACTAGGCCATCATGGGCTCAGAGTCAATTGTTGGTATCATTGATGTGGCTGAGGGAGGGTGTGGTCATTGTGTGTGTAGAATGGGAACCAGAACTACCCCACCTCCACCTCCACCATCAGCTCCAAAGTCCTCCAGGGAAGAAAACTACTTTCCTGGTTGCCAGGCAAGAGGGGCACTGTTGTGCCAGAATCTCCTGAAATATTCCTCACTTGTTCCTCAGACCAAAGCACTGAAACATTTCTCTGTGTGTGTGTGTGTGTGTGCATGTTGGATGCATGTGTGCACATGGGTGTGACAGGGCAGTGTGGGCAGGGAGGGGAGTGTTGGGAAAACTTGTCTTTGAACAGAAGCCATGCAAGGAGCCAAACATGTTGGCTGTTACAAGCTGACCTCTCCTTTCCGGAGTCTGTAAGGGACAGATGCTATTCTGGCTTTGAAGTAGGGCCCATGAGCTTAACTTGGCCTGTGGGGAATGCCTGGCAGCTGCTTGTGGGTCCCTGACCTTCTTTCAGAATAGCTCTGTCTGTCCCTGGGAGCAGAGCACAGCTGCCCAGAGCCTCCCTGTGGGCGTCAGGCCAGTACTGGCTTAGATGTTTGGATGGGGTCTAGCTGCGGCTGCATTTGTCATCAGGGAGGAACTGTAGATAGGATCTCAGGGAAGCGCTCTGCTCCGGGTGCACTGCCGTCTTACCAGAATGTGCTGCAGCAGCACAGTGTCCAGGCTGGTGGATCTCACCTCCTGACTGGCCTTCTGGTCCATCCACTCCTCTCCATCCCTTCTGCCACCTCTTGCCCTGACCTCTGCCGTACATCCTCACTGGCCTCCTTGTTCCTGTTCTGGCAGTTCCTTAGTCAACTCTCCATGAGGTGTCAATAGTGATCTTTACTTACATTCAGGTTGTGGTGTCCCATCCCTGTATAAAGCCTTTCCTGTTTCTTATTGGTCACAGGTTGCCTCCAGCCCAGCCCTTACTTACCTCTTCAGTCTGTTCCTGTAATGGTCCTCTACCTGCCTGCTTACCCTTCCAGTCTCAGCTAAGTGGTTCCCCCTGTAGGAAACCATTCTTGACCCTGTAGACTGAGTTCCCAAAGACATTGAACTCCCCACCTCCCAGCTCCTACCATGATGTGCTGTGATTACCCAGCTAGTTTTCTGCCTTCCTCTGTTGACTTAGTTGTTTGAGGGCAGGGACCATGTCTTGGTCACCCAGCATAGTGTCAGGCACACAGTAAGCACTCATCAGGACAGTCCACAGCTGAAGCACTAGGGGCTGACTCCAGGTGGCAGGTCCTTCCCGGGAGTATCACTGTGCCCATCTGTAGAGACTGGGGGTATGAGGTATGTGATGGTGTGTGTGTATGAGTATGTGAAGGTGGGTGGGTTCCAAGCAGCAGTTCACTTATTGCAACTTGTGGAGTCCTTTCCTGATCCTATCATCTGACTTTGCCAGGCTCCCTAGGGAGCGAAAACTGTGCCCCCTGTCTTTGTTCCTTGTAGCAGTGGGAGCCCAGTGTGAGCTGGTGCAGGAGAAGAGTCTTTGGGTAGGCTTCTGGGCAGAGGAGGCCACTGAAGTTCAGAAGGATGCTGGTAGACTTGTCCACAGTGAGAGGAGCATGCAAGGTTGAGGCTCAGGATTGGCAGCACAGTCTGAATGTGGGAGCAGCCGAGTGCAGGCAGGGGTGGTACGTGGGCCTGGTGAGGAAGGGGGCTGTCTGGACAGGTGGGTGGATGGACAAAGCAGATTCCATAGGCATAATTCTATAGACAGCATGGATCTGGAAGGGAGCAAGGGTGGGAGTGACCCAGAGGGCAGTGTCCAGGGTCTGACAGCAGAGCAGGAATGTGGAGGCCTCAGACTCCTGCTCTGACCTGGCTTGCAGGATCAGGGGGCTTTGGCTAGAGTGGTTGCCTGCAGACTGGCAGATCAAGTCCCAGTCTTTCCCTTTCCCCACTGGCCTGACTGGCAGATTTGGTCCCAGCTTTTCCAGGAAAACATTCAAGGCAAAGAATGGTAAGTCTGACCTGTCTTCCTGCCTTCCAGCTTGCACGAGCCACTGTTCGTGATCCCAAGACAGGTGTCCTCACTGTCGCCAGCTACAGAGTTTCCAAAAGGTTAGCAAAGGTGGTTGTGGTGGTGGTTGGCTGCTCAAGCCTCAACTCCAGGGCTTCCCGGTTCCTGCCCCAGGGAGGGTGACTGGGCTTGTCCTCCCTGCTGCCACCTCCCCTACATGGAACCCTCACCCTGTGTCTCCTGTTAGTGCTGGCCCTGACTCTGGGGAGAGTGAAGGACCTCAGTGAAGTCTCCTTTCCCCACCTTCCTCTCTCTCCCTCTTGTTTTGCGTTAGCTCCTGGCTGGAGGAAAATGATGACCCTGTTGTGGCTCGAGTGAATCTTCGGATGCAGTACATCACAGGGCTAACAGTAAAGACTGCAGAATTGTTGCAGGTATGGTTGTGCTTCCTGGGACCCTGGAGTTGGGAAGGGAGTATTTCTAGCTAGATGGTGTCTCTGGTGCCCAGGGCCAGAGGCTTGCCCAATAAACTATATGACTGCACAATGCTATGAATATGGAGTAACCCCACACAGGGAAGCCAGAATTAAGTCTGCCCACTGGCATTCAACAGTTAGCATTCAACAAATATTGACTGAGTATCTTCTGTGTGTCTAAGAATCATACTAGGAACTAGGTATCATTGGTGAGCATCGAAGGCCTGTTCATGTCTTCTTGACTGCAGAAGCTGAAATCCTGAGTTGTTCCAGGGACACCTCTAAGATCTATAAATATCTTCAGAGGTCATGGTTCTGAGTCATAGAGGTAAAGTGTTCTGTGATATGTTGGTGCAATTGAGAGGCCTGGGCTGGTTGGCTGGTGAAGGGGGAATACTCCTTTCAGAGTAGCCCCCCTTGGGACCCTGGCTTCTTACTTTTATATCAGAGGTGATTGTAAAGACATAGCAGCACCATGCTGAAAGTTTTGGGTACAGCTCTTAATATATTCTCTGGTCTGTTGAGTTCAAATCAGCACTGGCCGTGCTCCTTTCTGAACATATGAACTTCTGGGTTCTGCTGTAAAGTGATGACCTGAGACATCACCACAGAAGGTTCACTGGCATTTTTCTCCAATCCTCTGAGTCTGTCTGTTTGGCCAGAGTTTGTGTCTATTTAAGGATCTCATACTTTACCTTTAGACTTGGACTTTGCGTCTGATCAACCATAGATCTCATTAGAATATTGACCTGAAGATCACTTGGAAAAAATTCTCTGAACTTTTGCCTGGACACACCCAAGCAAATCAGTACTCATCTCCCCTCTCCTCTCCCCATGGCTGTGTCAGCAATCAAAACCAATTTTGAAGGTTCTCCTTTATGGATTTGTATGAGGTCCACCAGAGTTTTTAGAAACGTGCTGATTATCTTACAGTCTTATGAAAATTTTATATAATTTTTTCAGCTTAACTCAGCTAAGTGTTTCATTTGTAGGCCTAATTTTTAATTAAGTTCTTAGGCAAGCACATTAGGAGAAGATTTCTGCCACATCTCCCACTTCCCTCTCATGTGTGAGAAGAGCCATAGGACTTCATGCCCTGGGTGCATCCTTGTGGGTGTTGTGATTCATATCTTCCTGTTGTTGTTAAGACATCTGCCACTGCTTCCTGCACATCAGAGCCAGTGTTAGGACTCTCATGGCCCTTACTGAGGACAATGGCCTGCTTGGTTGCTGATTCCAAACCCTGGACCAAGGAGCTGAGAAGAGTGGACAGGACCTGTGCCCCTCTTGCTCTGGTGACTGGCTTCCCGGCTGTACCCTCTGTACCCTTTCTCACATGCAGCCTGAGAAGACAACAGCTTCATGCTTGGACTAGCTTCTCTGCCACAACCCTGGCTTCATCTTAACTGACCTTTTGTCATGTGGTAGTTGACGACTGAGGACTGAATGCTGCAACTCCTAGTGAAAGGGCTTTTATGGTCAGAGCTCTTCTGGAAGAGCTGGGCCACAGCTACCAGGAGGCTAAGACAGCGTTGTGGTTTGGTTTCCTTCTGTAGGAACTATCTTGGCATTTTCTTTGCCACTGAGTGGTATTGAAAGCTTTGATCCTGCGTATTCTGGGGACAGGAACCTGGGTTTCAGTACCTGTCTCTAAATGTTCATTTTACATTCCACACAGTGTGACATATGCCTAGGCACCAGCAATAGCCTCCTTTGCAGGGCCCCAAAGGGAGTGTTACCGGCTTCTGGAAGGGAACTAGTTCTTTTTCGGCCTGTCAACATTCTTTCATCTCTAGTTGATGTGTTTGCTATAGATCATTTGGAAGAAAGAGCAATTGTGGCTTTCTTGTGAATTGGATGAGGGCCTATCTGACAGTGGAGGAGATGCTACAGTGCCAGAATTCTCTAAGATTGAAGACACTCCTGACTCAGTGTCTCAGCCTTCACCAAAAAAGTGATTTCTAACCACTTTTTACCCTTCACTTTGACCTCAGTATCATAAATACCCATGTCTTTCAGCGACTGATTCTTCTACTTTTGTAATAAGAAATCTAAAAATGCAAATGAATACCTCCTTCCAGGAATCAGTTTTGATGTACAGTTGCTTAAAAATATGAGTCTGGAGCCTGGAGTTTGCTCATGTGGCGATCCTGATTGCTGCAAATCCAGAGGTTCCCATGACACTTGCACTATTTGGGGCTGTATTAAATAGCATAGGTACAAATCGCTTCAGCACCATGATTAATGTGAGTCCCCAAACTGTTAAAAGTTGAGCCAGCTATAACAATGCATCTTCTTTCATTACCCCCAGTAGAGAAAGTTTAAGCAGTCCATCCAGTAAGTGGGAGCGTTGGAAGGCTCTGCAGCCATAATAGTCTCCAGCTACAAGCAGTGATCAAATTTCCCTAAGTGCATTGGCACAGTAATCACAGCCATGTTTAAAACTTTCTTAAAGTTCTCAGCTAGAGAGGGTCCAAAGAAAAGGCATTTGTAATATCACTTCATCAACTGCACTAGCATGTCTCTCCTTAGATGCATCTCCAGCACTAGAGCCATCTTCTGAGCCAGGCCTCCTGGCACTGTTGACAGGATTTCCAAGTATTTTTGGTGTGGGCCTCATGAAGATCGAAGCAGTGTATGCCAGCATATTTTCATCCACTGATTCTTCGTGTCACAATTTTTATTTTTGTGGACACTGAAAACCATGCTGCTGAAGTTCTCCACTGCATCATGTTTGATAAAGTTTTGTTTTGTTTTTTTACTCCAACAGGAATATTTTCTCTCTTGTAAAGTCCACCCTCCCTTTATCTCCCCTTCACGTCCATACGTCTCCATTATTGCCAGCTTTGCAGCATCTCTCACCTGACTGTTGGAATTGCCGAAAAGGATATACAAAACCAATTTTTTGAGTACTAATAGCCGAACCCCAAAGATGTTTATGGTTTCATTAAGACACAGAGCCATGTGTTACCATTCGGTACATCAGCTTCCATGTCAGATTCTGTACTTCATCTTGAACTTCTTCTCCCATTCCAGCTACTAAAGCTAAAATAACCATTGTGATTTAGGACTTGTGCAGATAAGCTGTTCACAAAGGCACTTATAAATTCTAATCCTGTTGGTGACACCTGAACTGGCTCAGGCCCTACTTCAGGTCCAGACTCCCATTGGGAGCCCTGGGGTGGAGCAGCAGTTTTGGCTACCCTGCAGCCAGCCGTCCATGCCCTGCTGCTTCATTTGGATGCAGAAGTACTCCATGCAGTAGACCACTGTGGGATGGGGTGGGATATGCTTGTCCAGTTCAGCCTGACCAGGAAGAGCTTCTAGGGACAGTAATGGAGGTGGCAGGAGCACTGCCAGGCACTAAGTAGCTCCCAAGTTAGCATTTAAAAAATTAATCCCAAATCTGAGTTTGTTTCTTTCTGCTGATTACCTTCTCACTATTTTCCAAACAACCAGGGCCCACACCAAGGTCTGCTTCAAGAAGGGCTCCCTCTGCCACTGTACAGGTGTCCCCACAGGGCTGGAGCTTCTCCCCAGTGGCCATCTGCAGCTTGTTCTGTTTGGGAAACCACATTTGTGCTGCAGCCTTCCTCTTGGACAGCTGTAGACCTGTTTGCAGCATTTGCTCTGCCCGTGTTGGCAGGGCATAATTATCCTCCACTTCAGACAGGCTGCTCTTGGGGGTTCTAGTTGTTACCTGGGGAGATGGTATCCCTGGGAGAGGGGCTGCTTCAGGATGGTTCATGCTGCTGACAAAATCCAACATTGTTATTTCCCACCAGGTTGCTAATTATGGAATGGGAGGACAGTACGAGCCACATTTTGACTTCTCCAGGGTAAGGCCCAAATCACCTCGAAATCAGGTGCTTTCAAGGGACCCGTGCCAGGTAGTTTGAGAAGGTTGGGGCCTTTAGGAGCATGGCAGCCTCTGCATCAGGTCCCCCTCCCTCAACAGGGCCTACCTTTGTTGCTGGCAAAGCCCAATTCCGGAGCTGAGTGCAGCCCAGCTGTTTCCCCTGTGATGTAGGGAGTGGTTCCCCTGGCCTAACCCTGTCATTCTTTGCCATGGTTCTAAAGCAGAGGACCTCACTCGGTCTTTGTGAAAGCTGTTCCTGCCTCCTTTTCCTCATGCCCGGCCAGGGTTTCCTTTGCAGCCTTGACCCGTGGTCCGGGCTGATGTATGGAACACACACTTACTATCTTCCCCTGACCTTTTGGGCCCCAGTCTTGTGGGTGGTGGGAGAAGTCAGTTGCAAACTTGGGTGAAAGTTGTTGTCTGTTGCAGCGACCTTTTGACAGCGGCCTCAAAACGGAGGGGAATAGGTTAGCGACGTTTCTTAACTATGTAAGTATCAGGTACAGGCCCACCTGTTTACTCTCACTTGATTTTATAGAAGAATGAGCAAGATGCTTTCAAGCGTTTAGGGACGGGGAATCGTGTGGCCACATTCTTAAACTACGTGAGTATGATGCGTGCAGCGTATGGGCCTTAAGGGGAGCCTGGGTCCAGAGTGCTCTCTGACATCCACTCCTATCAGAGCTGATACCACCAGCTGTGTTTGATGGCTGGCCCTTCTGGCTCTTTGCACCCTTCTTGGCTGGAGTAGAGAGTTGCCCTTTGTTCCTATCTGTGTGCTCCCCTGATCCCCCTGACTTCTACATCGCTGGCTCTTTTTTGATGGGTCCAGTGCTTGTCTGGGCTTTTGGGATGGGTGCCCTGGCAGCAGAGTGAGGAGGTATCCATGAGGTGCTCTTAGATGAAGCTGCCTTCGTTTCCCCAGAGCTCCAGCCACAGGCCATTGAGTTTACCTCCCATGTGAGGAACAGTTTCCTCTCGCCTTTGCTGAGAGCCAGCTCTTAAGAGGCATAGAAGCCATCAAGCAACTTAGACAGAAGCTGGTGTCCATTTTCTTCTTTGGTGTCTCACTTATGTTTTTATTGTGTGGTTATCATGTGCTGGGGATTGCCATGAACATGTTGGTGAGCAGGACATGTGTGGTCTCTCCTGGGCTTAATGGTCTAACGTGAAAGACTTACTTTAAACATAGGAGAGGTAACTGTTTAGTTACCGTGGTGATAAATGCTTTGAAGTACTGAGTAGTGCAGGGTAGGGTTCAGAGAAGGCTTCTCTTGGGAAGTAACATGTCAGTTGACACTTGAAGGTTGAGTGGAAATTAGTTGGTGAAACATGGTTTCTGGCAGAGGAGTGAATGTGGGGAGACCTTAAGAGGAAAGGAGCTTGGGATGTTGGAAAAAAGAGAAAATGGATGGCGTGTCTAAGAGTGCATGATTTGGGAGTGGCTAGAGGGAGAGGCTGGTGAGGCTGCCAGAGCCTTTGGGTTCTAGAAAAGAGCCTGGATTTGATCCCCGCTCCTATGAGAAGCCATCAGGGGGTTTTGTCTTATTCATTTACCATACGTTTCTTGAGTGCCCTTCATTCTGTCTGGTATATGTCCCGTGGAAATATTTTTTAGCTCCACATTTTATTACATTACAGGCTAAAAGCCTGAAGTAAGAGAGCCAGATGAGAAGTGGTGCTTTGGGCATGAGCTGAGGCACGCTCTGGGCATGAGTGCGGCCTCGCTACTGTTGAAACTGTGTTCCATTTAGTTTGAGGTTTTACTGTGGGCCTCTGGAGACAGCGCCCTGCCTGCCTGCCCACCCAGCTGGCCCTGAGGAAGGTGGCTGTTCTGGGGAGGGGAGGTCTGACTAGAGCTGCCAGAGAAACAGTCCAGAGTCGGGATCACAGATGGTGTTGGAAGCCATAGGGAGCTCCCCGTCAGGGCAGCTCACAGGGCACTGGCTTAGGCAAGGCCCAGGCTGGATGGGGATAAAAGGGGTGGAGGTCAGTCAGGCATTTTTCCAGTACAGACTCAGATTGTTCCCATTCGAGGACAGCCAGGTTATGGGTCTCCTGCAGGCCTTTGTCTCTCAAGCGCCCATGGCATGGAGACTGTCCTGATGAACCATAAGCAGGGTTGAGAGAGGGGCAGAGTGTGGGAAGAGCCTTTCTTGGCTGAACGGCTGGTGGTGGAGCAGAGCCTCCAAGCAGTTCTGCTCATGCTCAGGGTGGGGGTGATCTGCATACCTTGCCATGTCCTTTGTGGCTCAGTTGCTCTGAGAGCCTTGAGTAGAAGGGCCAAGCTCTATGTCTTGTATTCCCAGATGAGTGATGTAGAAGCTGGTGGTGCCACTGTCTTTCCTGATCTGGGGGCTGCAATTTGGCCTAAGAAGGTAGGTTCTGGTTCTTGTGGGTCAAAGGTTGAAGTACGGGGCTCAGACTTCATCCATGTCTCCTAGTCCCATTCCCTGGCCTGCTTGACTACTGCTTTGAGGGGCCTTAGCCCCTTCTTGCCTGAACCCTGACCTTGTGGTTTCGGCTTCTATCTGGGAAGATGGGATGGGGAGGCAGGTAGAATTCGAACATCCACACCACCCCACTGTGAAGGGTAGGTGCTTTCTGGGGAACTTCTCTACACTGGAGTCCTAGAGCCCTTGTACATGAGATAGTGAGGGTGTTTCTGCTCAGGGAGGGCTCTGTGGTACTCAGGGTCAGATCCTTGAGCCCACTATCCAAGCATGTTGTTTGACGGGGCTTCATTATCCAGGGCACAGCTGTATTCTGGTACAACCTCCTGCGGAGTGGAGAAGGTGACTACCGAACGAGACATGCTGCCTGTCCCGTGCTTGTGGGCTGCAAGTGGGGTGAGTGGCTTAAGGTGTAGTGTTGGTCTCTGGGGTCTAGCGGTCAGCCTGAGACTCTGAGCTGGGAGACAACTGCTGCCAATTTTCACAAGACCAGACGGTCTCCGTTTTTGAGATTTTGTTTCTTTTTTTGTTTGTTTGTTTGTTTTTAAGCCTGCTAACTGGTAGCCCCACCTAGCCATGTAGCTGTGCATTCAGCTCATTATGTGCCAAGACAACTGGTTGGGGACACTCTCAGAGATGCCTAGAGAGCTGCAGAAGCCCCACGAAAGGATAGCTATACAAGCATTGTGGGTCCAGGATGGCTCCCCAGAAGAGTGGACTCTGGCAAGGGTTCTGAGGGTGTAGCTGGGGAGAACTGGAATCAGAGAGGGCTAGGGTGTCCCAGGCAAGCAAAGCCTATGTGGAACAGCACAGGCTAAGATCAGCCTCATAGGTGTGGAGACTGGCTGCCTTTGTCTTTCGCACAAGAGGAGGCCTGTGGCACAGGGGCCAAGAGATGAGGCTCCAGGCTGGGAACAAACTGTGGAGACTGAAACTTGAGCCTTGTTCTGGAAGCAGCTGTGGTGAGCCATGGAGAAGCTTGAACCAGGATGTGACAGGAAGTGATCACAAAGAGATGAGTATAAGCCCCCTGGGAGAGTTTTGGGGATAAATAGTGATGGGTCACAGAAAATTAAGAAAATGAGAAAAGAAACAAAAAAGGGAATATAAGTACAGTTGACCCTTGAACAGAGCAGGGGTTGGGGCGTTGACCCTCTGTGTATAATTTATAGTTGGCCCTTCATATACGCTGTTCCTCTGTATCCGGGATCTGGATTAGCAGATTCAGCCAACTATGGATCATGTAGCACTGTTGTATTTGCTACTGAAAAAAATCCACGTGTAAGTAGACTCGTGCAGTTCAAACATGTGTTGTTCAGGGGTACACTATATAATCTATATTAGGTAGCTCAGATATGAGTAATATTTATATAATGATGTAAATACTGAATATTAATTTAACTAGAACTTGTAATTTAACTATATTGGGGGGTGGAGGGGAATAGGTATTTTAAGAGTGGTATAAAAATTTCCAAATCTCCATCTTTCATTGTAGACCATCAACATATAAGATCTAAAATTGAAAGTCAAGAAATAGCATTATAAGTATGTTATGTAGAAAAATGAGGATAAGTATCAGAAGAAACAACAAAAGGAGTTGAATATACTCAAAGTGGGGATTGGTGGTGGGAAGGGGTAGGTAAGGATTGCTGTTTATCATTATAAGCCTTGTAGAACAATTTGATTTTTTTCAACTAAGTACATGTATTACTTAAAAAATATTATAAATTATATTTTAAAAGTATTCTTGCTTCATTTGTGCATTAACATCAATTTTAAAAAATTCATTATGGAACAGTCCCAATAGAGGAATGAAATTGTGGTTTGTAAGCATTTAAAACAGAGCTTTAGATGACAGACCATGCTAGCACTGGCTCTTCTTCTCTGCTGCCCACAGCACGCAGATTGGATCTCCTGGCCCAGAGCCGTGAGGTTCCTGTCTAGGCCTTCTGCAATACTGACAGGCTTCCTCACCCTCATCCCCCACCTCTTAGTTCCCACCTGCCACTCCTCAGTAATATTAAGTGTTGGGGTCCTTGACTTAACACCAGGGTGGTTCATGCCTTGATGTCTTTGTCATCCTGTTTCCACTTTCTGGACCCTCTTGGTGTAGGAGCCATCTGCTCTGTCCAACCTCTGTCCAACTTCTTCCCTGATACCTCCTACTCAGTTTCGTGTTCCAGCCCTGGGGTCTCCTCTTCCCCGACATGGGTAGATGCCCTTTGGCTCCATGTCCATAGCAACCTACACACATATATATCTTGTATCTCTGGCAGACTTTTGTACCCTTATCTGTCTTCCTCACCAGCTCATGAGCAACTTGAGGACTGAGACCAAGTCCTACTCATATCTGAGCCTCAGGTCCAGTGTAGAAGTCATTGTGAAGGAATCATTAATTTTGGCTACTGAACTAATCAACAGGATTGTAACATACTTTCTCTCTGTTCACAGTCTCCAATAAGTGGTTCCATGAACGAGGGCAGGAGTTCTTGAGGCCGTGTGGATCAACAGAAGTTGACTGACATCCTTTTCTGCCTTTCCCCTTCCTGGCCCCACAGCCCATGTTGTCTTCAAGTTCAACGTGACAGACCCCTCTGTATGTTCCAGCCCCTGTCAGGAGGGTCTTTGGAGGAGTGAATGTTTGTCCGGAGCAGAGAGTGGACTGGGGAAGGTCTTGGGTGACCTGCGTCCAAGCCTCTCCAGTCAGCCTGTGCTATCTCTGGCCGCAAGGGTAGGTTGGAGTGGCTGCAGCAGAGTTGGGCTGTCTAGCACCTAGCAAGGTGCTTTTGTACCTCAGATGCTTTAGGTGTGAGATGTTTCAGTGAACCAAAGTACTGATACCTTGTTTACATGTCTGTTTTTATGGAATTTCTACTAATGTGGCTTTAACCAAAAATAAAATGTCCCTGCCAGAAGCCTTAAAGAGCCTTATCTGGAGTGTTTTTTAAGATGGAGAGCTTTTACCAAGTAGCATTTCCTGTGCATCTTCTCTGTGCAGGCAGAATCTGGGTAGTATTCATTAGGCTCTAGATCTGGTTTTGGCACTTAGTTTTTCCTCCAAGTGTCCTTTCTGGAAGGTGAGAGAGATAGTCTCTCCTTGCCTTTCGGAGAACACAGAGATCATGTGTGTCCATGATTGTGATGCTGTTATAATTTGAAATTTTGAGACATACACACAGAATTGTTTGTGACTCACAGATGTACAGTTTAAAGAATGTGAAGGTGAGTATGAGCTCCCATGTCACCACCACCCAGGTTAGAGAAGAGATCATTTTCAAATTGACATCTCAGGAGTCCCTATGGGTCCCTCCTTGACCTGCCCCCACTACCTCGGTGGTAACCATTGTCTGGTGATCTTGTGGTAGTTGTGCCTTTGCTTTTCTCCGTAGTTTTACTATCCATGCCTGTATCCCTAAATAAATAGTAGTTACTTTGCTTTCTCTGATTTTGAACTTTTTCTAATGGAATCTGAGTATATTTTGTTGAGTGTTTGGCCTCTTTCATTTAACAGTTGTTTTTAGGATTCATCCACGTTGTTGTGCAACTGCAGTTTGTATTTATTTGTATAGTTCAGTTTTGTTAATGTATATTATAGAACAATACCATAATATAGCTGATACACTGTTGATAGACATTTGAGTTGGCTTCAGTCTTGGTATATTATGAATAATGCTGCTGTTGCATTTTTGTAAGTGATTCCTGGTGCACATAAACACATTTCTGTAGAATACATATCTAGACAAGGAAATGCTGAGTGTCAGTAGGTGAACCTTCAACTTTACCATTTAATGTATTCAAGAGCAGTTATGCACATTGCCACCAAGAGTAAATAAGAGTTCTTGTTATCCCAACCTTCTCCAGTATCTGGTATTGTCATACTTTTGTATTTTAGCTAGCTTGTTGCAAGTATAATATTATCTATTTTAACATGATTATTAATGACACTGAACAGCTTCCTGTATGTTTATTAGTCTTTAGATTTCATCTTTGTTCAAGTCTTTCTCTTACTAATTCATAGGCATTGTTAATATATTAAGGACACAAGCTGTTTGTTGATTACATGCTTTGCATCTTTTCTCCAGTCTGTCTTTTACTTGCAGCTCTGTCTTTTGATGAATAGAACTTCTTAATTTCTAGGTCAAATTTTCAAGCTTTTCGTTTTTGATTTGTGCTTTTTTATGTCTTGTTTAAGAAATTCTTCTATACCCCAAGATGTTGAAGATATTTCTTCTTTTATAAAAGCATTATAGTTTTATCTTTTACATTTATATCTTTAATACACCTGGGTTTTATTTTTGTATATGGTATGAAGTACAAGGGTCTATGTAAAAAGATTCTTTTACATATTTTATTAGGATAGGCCAGGCTTATGCTAGAATAATAAAATAACCTTTAAATCTTGATGGCTTAATGTATAAAGCTATGTCTCAGGCAAAAAGAAATCACTGGGTCTAGGGCAACTGCTACCTATCTACTGCCATATAATCTCCCTCTAGTGCCTTCCCCCATCAGAACCTAACAGGAAGCCAGCTGGTAAGGGAATCTGAGAAATGTGGTTTAGAGTCACAACTCCGCTGTAACAGCAGAGCATATAACAGATGAGCTTGGAGCTGAGAAACAACAGAAAAATTACTGGCATGCTAGGTGTTCTGTTTGTTTTGTTTTGTTTTTGTTTTTGTTTTTGTTGTTATTTTATTCTGAGATTCTTTGGGCTTCTTTGAATCTGTATGATAGTATCTTCAGTCAGTTTTGCAAAATTATTAAATCATTTTCTCTTTCAATATTTTCTGCATTCCTCCTGGAACTCTGGTTAAATGTAAATTAGACTGTGTCATGCTATTCTTATCTCTTAACCTGTCTTCCATATTTTTAATATCTGTGGTATGTTTCAGTTTTTTTACAACTGTCTTATAATTTACTAATTCTCTTCTATTAAATGCATCTAGGAGTTTTTCTTTAAGCACTTTAAATATGTTAAGTCCATTCTTTTCTTTCTTTATACAATTTCTGTTGAAAATTCAGCTATCTTGTCGTCTTGCTGCTCTTTTAAAAGTAATTTCTCCCCACTCACTATCTACAATCTGCTTTTTAAGATTTTTCTTTGTTTTGGTTTTCACTAGTTTTACTATATGATATACCTAATTGGGTTTCTTTTTGTGATTTTCCAGCCTGGGGTTTACAGAGCTTCTTGAATTTGTGGGTTGATGTCTTTGATCAATTTTGGAAGTTTCTCAGATATTATTCAAATATTATTTCTGTCACATTTTCTGTCTCTCCTCTCTTTCTGGGATACCAGTAATCTGGATGTTAGAACTTATCATTGTGTTTCATGTCTCCTAATCTCTCTTCTGTATCTACTATTCTTTTTCCCCCTTGTGCTTTGGGCTAGGTATTTTCTATTGATCTCTCTTCCAATTCATTTCTCTTCTACTAGGTCTGTCTATTGAGTTCTTAATTTTAGTTCTTGTATTTTTTTTAGTTATAGAATATATTTTCAGTTATTTTGAATAGATTCTAGTTCTCTGGGGGAATTTATCTTTTGTCTTCTCTTTTCTTGAACCAATGGATCAGTTATTTTGAAGTTCTTGTCCAATAACTCCATGATTTAGATTTTCTATGAATCTCTTTCTGTTGTCTTTTTTTGCCCCTGTAGTTTCTGGTCATTTGTTCCACTCTCTTGGTATGCCTGGTAGTTTTTGATTGAATACTCGACATTGTGTATGACAAATTATAGCAGCTCTTGATGGTGATAACCTCCTACACAAAGGGTTTACTCTTTACTATGGAGAGTGGGGATTGATCATCTTGATCCAGTCAGGGCCTGGGCTGACATAATTAATGCTGGGTTCTGGTTTTCTTAAGACGCTACCTCTGGTTTACCCTTGTTTTCTCATGTTAGGGGAGGGGAATTTTCCCCCTCTGCTCCTTTTGAGTTCTTGTGACTGAAATGATGATAAAATTGCAAGGCAGATTAACAGGAAAAAAGAAACAAATTTTAAGTCATGTGCACAGAGGTCTCATAGAAATGGGACCTAAGAAGTGGCCAAAGCAGGCATTTTTTATACTTCTTAGACAAAGAAACAATAAATTTGTGAAGGATTGACAGAAAAAAGAAACTCAGGTTTTGGGTGCTCAGTTAGTGAAAAATCTAAACAGAATTTGGACTTGGGGTGGTGAATTAAAGAAGTGACAAGGTTTGTTTATATAGGCTTCTCAGCCTGAATTGTCTATCTCTGGTGATAAGGGTTTCCTTCTACCTCCAGATGCAGGGAGTACACCTTTCACATGAGAGATTTATTTCTTGCTTTCAGGGAGACAAAGGAGGGTCACAGTGTCCCTCTTGTGATGACCATTTCTTAAGTAACTTTAATTCAAAATCATCAATATGCTATTTAGGTACATTTTGGGGTGGCCTACCCTGGGCCCCAGTACCCCCTTTATAGGATATAGTCTTCCAGGAGTTTTTTAGTTGACAGCCTAGAGTCTTAACTGTATCTGTCTCTGCTAGCAGTTCTACAGTTCTAATCCTTGTATCCCCAGTATCTAGACACTTCTTTTCAGAGGTTTTCTGCTTAGCTTCTTAATCTTCCATTGTGCACAGCTTCAGAATTCAGAAAATGTCCTAATGGGTAAACAGGCTGAGTAGTTGACTTATCTCCCCACCCATCCCTCCTATCCAATACTCTAACAGTTTAATTTTTGTCTTTCAGTGCCCTTTGAGACTGCCAAGAGTTCTGTTGATTTCCGTGTCTCTTAGCAGTTGCCTTTTGCTTGGGTCCTTTATCTGGGTCATCAATCTCTTACTCCATGCTTAGAATCAGTAAATGATCTAAGGGTAAAAGAGGCTACAGACTTTTGGCTTACCCACCTGAGATTCATTCTTCCCTAGGATCTTGATGCTTAAGCCCTTTTTGCTTTGGCAGTCTGTTGATATCTTTAGACAGATTTTTAAGATTTTATCCAGCTTTCTTGGTTGTTTTTGATATGAAAAGTGACATGCAATGAGCTGTTCCATCTTAGCTAGGAGTGGAAGTCTTGTTCATTTGAGTTTTGAAAATTTATTTTCATGTGAAATAAAATACAGATACATAAAACCTTGTCTTTGATATCTTCCATTGTTACCTGGTATAACAAGATGTTCCACGTTCATCTTGAACATTTCCTGTGTTAAGCATGGAATCAGCCATTAAGGAATCTGTTATGTGTTGGTGCCTTCCTTTCAATCCCACTGTGGTCCTGGAAACAAACACAAGATTACCTTGGAGACGAGGCACTGTTTTCAGTAAGCTTTATTAACCTACTTAGTATTAACATATTCACTATGGTGCCAAAGAGTCGAGCATTTCATTAGGCATTTTGGTAGTGTGCTAAGGATCTTACAATCTGTTATTTCAGACTCACAGCTCTTTAGAATAGATACAGAAGACATTGAAGGTCAAAAGGCTAGTTAATGTATCTGAGGTCACATGAGGTCTCATTGCTGGTTGGTGAAAGGCCTGAAAATCAAACCTGATCTGGCAGCTTACCCAAGCCTTTGCTCTGAAAAAGTAATTTATATTTTTATTCATTCAACATTTATTAAAGAACTGATGTGGTAGCAAAGATAAAGAAAATACTGACTCTACCTTTAAATAATTTGGAGTACTGGAACAGATCATAAATAGATGTGTAGGTGTTGAGAAGTCTGATAACAAAGAACCTAGTGCCTGAGGAGCGCAGGAGAGGTCTAATGTAACCAGAGAAGTTGGTATCACATTAGATCTGAGTCTTAAAGCATAAGTAGAAATTTGTTTTTCTGCTATCATAGTTTAAAATACATGCACATGGCTTAAAAAATAAGGAACAGAAGAACTTACCATGAATAATGCTTCCCTACCCTCCTCTAGTCCCCTTTCTTAGAGGAACCTTTTAAAATTGTCTTTGTTTTTTAATTTTTTTTTTACTATAAATCATATTCTTACAAAGTGCTGTCTCTTGGTTTTTCCACTTTAGAAATTTGAAAGATGATCATCTAGATTTACTATCCTTTATTACACCTCCTCCTTTTATCACTTTTTGATAATTAACATTATTTATAGTCTTTTCCTCATTGCCTGATAACACAAATTTCCTTTTTGTTCTGTGAGCCTAAGGTAGCATCTCTGACATTTTAGTATGTGAGATGAAGATCTAGACTAGTATTTGACCAAACAGCTGGTCACCATAGCCTAGTCAAGCTGACATATACATTAGCTATCACATGCCATTTTACCTACCAACTTCTATTAGTTGTACTCTGGACACTGCTTTTATACCAGGATAAATTGATAATAAAAATTGAAAAACCAAATATTATGTATGTATCTTAAACTTACAGTCATTATAATGTTGATGGAGCCATCATAAAAAATAATCTGTGCCTTATTTGTCTAATAAAATTCAAAACAAATCTACAATGTGTATTATTTTGTTAGGGCTGCAATAACAAAATATCACAGACTGGGTGGTTTAAAACAAACTTACTTCCTCACAGTTCTGGAGGCTAGAAGTCCAAGATCAAGGTATCAGGAAGTTTGGTTTCTTGTGAGACCTTTCTCTCTGGCTTGCAGATGAATTTTTCTCACTATGTCTTCATATGGTCACCCCTTGGTCTGTGTGTTGTCTGTGTCCTTATCTCTTCTTATAACGGTACTAGTTATGTTGGATTAGGTCCCACCCATATGACCTCATTTTACCTTAATTACCTCTTTATGGTCCTAATTCCAAATACAGTTGCATTCCAAGGTACTAGGACTTAAACATCCAAATTTTGGGGAGATACATAATGCTACTAGGAAATCATGTTAGATCTGAGACCCTATTGGGAATAAAAGAAGCACTTGCCCTTATTTGTATGCCAGATGTAGCCCATCATGAACAAATGTGTCAGATACTATGTTTGCACTAAGAATGTCATAACAATAGAAGAAATTTTGATTTTATTTAAGAGCTTAAGTGATATAGGCTATTCTATGAAATTCTTAATACAAAAATCTTTCAGGCCAGGGTTATGTTAATGGTACAAATACTGCAGGTGTGTATACAGAGTGTATAAGCCATTATTTCACCCCAAAATGATTATACCACATTTGCTTAATGTGCAAAAAGGCCACTTTTGATGAATTCACATATACCCTTTTTAGTACTGTACAAATGATATATATGTGTGTGTGTGTATATATATAGTAAATTCAGTGAGCAGACAGAATACTATGTTCTAAAAAGTACATTACAGGCATCAAGATCGAATGCACTCGAGGCACTTCACACAAAGATGTTTGTCAAATGTTAGAAAACATAGCATCGAAGGACAAAATACAACATGGTGAAACAGAAAGCACTATGGTGCAAATAGATTACAAATGTTTATGCAACTTATCTGTATGGCATAATATTGTGAAATAAGTGGGAAAAGAAAAAAACACATAACTATAAAAGCTGCATGCTTTAATAGGTCTATGTCTTTGTTTATAACAAATGAGAGCAAGTAACTCTGCAAGCATGTTTGGTTAATGTAAAACTTTAGCAAGAGATAGGAATATATTTCCTGAATTTGAAAATGAAGAGAAATTGTTAATGTACAAATTGCTGGATGAGTGTTTCAATTATAGGAAAAGTGTTTATCAAATAGAAATTAAGGAGATTATAAATGCCCTAGAAATGGAGATATGGAAAATCAAGTGAAATGCCTTCAGATATTTTGAATTTTTACCTGGAGAAAAGTTACTTTTTATGAATACATCAGATTTACAGAAAGCAGCCTCTTCAATAGTCTAATGATTTAACTCCTGTGTAAATTTCATCTGAAGTAGTTTTAAGCACCATACAACAGCAATAATTGGTAATATAAAATCAGCATTGTGTTTGGAGCCTCTAAAACTGATTCACGAATTTTTCTTAGTGCAATCTTACCCAATTTGGAAGTGGTCTAGGGAATTTTATTCTAAACAATACCAGTCACAATGGCATCGTACAAAAGTTTCAGTAAATTGAAATTAAATTTTATTCAACTTAAAATGACAAGATTGCACTTTGTCAAGAGAAGTAAACTTTGAAATTTTTATTGGTGAGTTTGCTTCCATTAAAACCGGGAAAATAAACGTAGTAATTTTTATTTTTGGTAAAAATAAAATAAACTTAATGTGAATTTCAAAATACCAATCTTTTCAATTTTCCAATAATTTTAACTAATTTACTATTTGGGGGACATTAACTATTAAAAAATACACAAAAACATGTACATGAGGGGCACACGAGTCCTTCTGGCTCAGGCTCTAACATGGCTTGGCATGGCCCATTCTTGTTTCCAAACTTGGCATCTGAACTCTAACATTAGAGATGCCAGATTTAACAAATAAAAATACAAGATACCCAGTTAAACTTTAATTTCAGATGAACAACAAATAATTTTGCATGAGCTATACTAAAACTTTATCCGAAATTCAAATTTAACTAGGCATCCTGTATATTATCTCGCCACCTTAAACATCATTATCTTACATAGTTGAGATATCTGCCTGCCTGCTTCTGGGTCCACCAACGCCGTCTCGTCATCCAGACCGCTGGTTATACAGTGATGCCCGTGGGGGGTGGGGTGTCACACGGGAAGTCACGAGGCTTCATGTCACGTTGAGCGGCCTGTAGGCACGTCCCATCCTTACCAGGTCAGGGAAACCCCGAATCCTCACCCTGTGGAGGGATAGCAGCTGGGGAAGGCAGAAAGCACCCTCCCGCCCGGCTGCCTCTGCTCTAGCCACAGTGGCCTCAGGCCTTTGTGCTTCCTAGTCCCTCTGCCTGGAATACGCTTCCCTCAGGTAGTCAGAGTTTCTGCCTTCATTCCCTTGGGAATGACATAGTACCACGTTCTCAGACACCACATCAGATGGGCCCTTCAAGACTACCGTGGAGGATCTGTGTCCTCATTTCTCCCCTTCTGCTTCTTTTTCTTCATAGCGCAAACCACCACTTGTTAAAGACATCTATTTGTGCATCAACTTATGATCTGTCTCCCCCAGTTGGAAAAGAAGCTCCTCGAGGGAAGTTTTATTTTCCCACTGCTCTATCCCCAGCGCCTGAAATAGTATTACACTACACGCTGCTTCGCCCTCAGGAGTCACGGAAGTGAAGCCTTCGGGAGGGACCTAAGTACCCGGATGGGGGCCTTGTGGGATTTCCGGCAAGAGGCGGGGCCTGTGCGCGGTCTTGGGAAGGGGCGGGACCTGTGGTCGCCTGAGGGAAGGGCGTGCGACTAGAGGTTTCTGGAAAGGCTGTGGGCCTGTGGCGCAATTCCCCAGTTCCCAGAGGTGAGGCGGTGAGAGCTGGTGCTGGGCCCTCGCGGATGCGGCGGTGTCTGTGGCTGCTCTGGTTTAGGGTTTTGGCTGGCCCCACCGGTCAGGCCTGTCCGTTCGGAGCAGGCCCTGAGGACCGGCTTGGTCCTGCGTGGGGCCTCTGGAGGGCTTACGCACAGGGTGGGCGGAGTGCAGGACGTGCCCTGGGGGAGGGCTTGGAAACGTCCAGTGCTGTCTGGGACGTTGCCAAGGCTGAAGCGATTTTGAAGTTTGTTTTTTTTTGAAGAGGTTTATTAAACTTTGGTTTAGATTCTTTATTCTAAATGTGGGGAAAATAAATTTTTTGTGAAGCGTTTGGTTAAGGGAAATAATTGGTAGGAAAGAGCCATGGGTATTTGGCAAACCAAAGTTTTGTGTTTTAAAGGAACTTTTAGGTGTCTTTATGAGAAAAAGTGCTTCTATAATGTGAAGCATTACCACGCTCCCAGGAGACCTCTCTTCCTTGATATCACTGTCTTCTCTGAAGTCACCTCCTCCTTGCCCTTACTTTGTGAATCTGCAGCCACTAAGCCCTGCTAAAGTTATAGCCAAAACCCTCTATGGGCTCCCAGTTGTCATCTCGTCTGCCGTCCTGATTTCACTGGCAAGCAGCTTAAAACTATGTGCTGTATTTACTGTTTATTTTTTGACATAGTAAATCTACCACAACTAATTTCCTGAAAACCTTGAAGTGTTCAGGGTCCTCCTAGTGGCCAAACTCAGTAGACGCTTTTGACTTTTTTTCCTTTCAGTGAGGGAAAGATCTCTTCACGATTCCTGATTCTCCTTTTTTCCCAGCCTCCCTTGCTCGCACTTTTCAATGGCCCAGATTTCTCCTATGTATGTTGTCTGGTCCCTGTTTCCTTTTCACAATACTGCACACTGTAGGAGGAAGGATTTTCTTTACTCTCATTGCTGTACCAACCATTTGTATGCTTATAATTTATTAAACTGCAGTCAGATCTTTCTCCTGAGTTCTCTTGTAGACCCTTATAGCCAACTTCCTCGTGGATATTTCTACCCGAACTTCGCACATAAATTTAGAATGGCTGTCACGGATTATTCAATGAATGATCATAAATAGGGCCGGAGGTCGGAAAAAAATACAGTTACAGTGACTATTAATCTTTGGAGTGACAGCCCCTCTTAAGAATCTTATGAAATCAAAGACTTTTTCCCTAAAAAGGTGCACACTAATTTCTGCATATAGTTTCAGAACTTCCTAGACCTGCTACAGTTTGAAAACTCAGATCTTAGATTAGGGCTTCCTAAAGTGATGAAAAAATGAAAAATATATTTTCATATATACATCAGATTTAGAGTTTTACCGTGAGAATACATTGTATTCCATTCTCCATTGACTAGTAACGCGAATTAATCCATCAAACTTATTTATAGGAACTTGGTCTTTGGAAGTAGAATCGAGAATGGAAAGTTAGGAGCACAAGGAAGAGAGTTTGATTAACTGTGTAGATTGTGTATATCACAGTTCAAATTGGATCTACCTTAATCTGGTCAGAGATCAGGGTCTTCTGCAGACTTTCCAGAAAATGCTTGCTAGTGAGAGTGTAGCCTTCTCCCCTGAGGACCTGAGTACAGGTCTGAGGCCTGGTGCTTGGTAAGAGCCCTGAGTGTGGAGGCAAGAATGATAGAGATGCAAGAGATTTCAGGTTTGTTGTTGTTTTAGCAGAATCTTTCTTCTTTGATGATTTGTAGGGTCAGTGATCAGTGATTTTCTTAGTTACAGAGTTATTCCCTTGATTGTCAGTGAGTGCTGCTTTGAAATTGACCCCTCTCTCTCCTGAATGAAATCTGTCTCATTTCTCTTGTTCTTGTGCCAATAGGCCAAAAGGCTCCTAAATATATATATATATTTTAATAGAGATGAGAACTAAGGAAACATTGGCCACTGTTTTTAAAAACCCTTCTCTTGGCTTCCATGAGAAGCCAAACCGATTGTATTCTTATTTTTCTTGTATCCCCTTGACTAAAACTTCTTAACTCTCCCTGGCCCTTTTTTCTCAGTCCTCAGTTATGGCTCAGTTTCTTTGTACCCATTTTGATTTCCCAGAAGGGTCATAATTTCCAAATATTGCCTATGTATTGAAAACTCTTCAGTCTTTAATTCTAATCACTTTCCACCTAGCAGCTCCAGCATTGCTTAAATGGCACACAAGTTCTTCCATCTGAATACATCCAAACTAGGTTCATTATGCTTCATTTAAGTGGTTCCTGTTTCTGTTTTACGTGTCTTTGTGCATGGCAAAAATAACTGATCATTTCTCCTAGCTACAGACTCATGTGTGATCCCAGATTCCGTCTTCTCTCTCCACTGCTGTTAATAACTAATCATGTGAAATTTCTTTCTAACATTCATTGCTTTGTTCTCTTTTCACTGTGCCAGGAAATTAGTGATTTGTTTCCATTTTGTTTTTAGTATTTTCAGCAACTTGGAGTTTAGGTATGTACTTCCCATTTTACTTATTAGAAAATAAGCTTACTTTTTAGATTATTAACTACATAAAGAACGTGTATGTACATGTTACTGCTAAACATTTAGGCAAAACCGAAATAGAGCAAAATGTTACAATGCCTCCTCTCCCCATTTTCCTTCTTTCTCTAGAGCAGTGGTTTTCAACTGGACAGTATTTGCCCCACAGGGAATATTTGGCAAAATTTGAAGATAATTTCGATTGTCATGACTGAGAGGATGCTATTGGCATCTAGAGAATAGAGACTAGGGATGCTTCTAAATATCTACAGTATGTGACCCCTACAATAAAGAATTACTGGGTCCCGAATGTCAGTAGTGCCAAGGTTGAGAAACAGTGTTCTAGAGGTAATCACTGTATATTTATCTATAACTGCATTGTCCAAACTATAGACACTAGCAACATGAGGCTGTTTAAATTGAAAGTAATTCAAATTAAATTAAAAATTCAGTTCCTCAGTTGTATTAACTACATTTTAAGTGTTCAATAGCCACATGTGGCTACTGAATTGAGTAGTAGATTATAGAACATTTCCATTATTGCAGTAACAGTTTTATTTTTTTTTTGTATTGAACAATGCCTCAGGTATATATCATGCAAATAAATTATACTTTACATAAACTGAATCATATTAAACATGTTGTAAAGTTTACTCTGTTAATAGTATGTCTCTAAGATTTTTCTGTTCTTAACATATACAGTATACAACTAGAAATTTAAATGTAATGGTCTTGTGAGATAATTCAATTTTATAATTTAGCAATATACTTTAATTTTACCTTTTTGAAAGTTTATGTTCATGAACTCATACAGTATGTATTCTGTCTTTCTGGCTTAATTTAGTCAGTGTTATGTTTTTAAGATTTATCCATGTTATTTTTGTGTACCTGTAGCTCATTCCTTTCAAGTATTCTGTGGTATTCCTTCGAATTGAAACTGTGGTAATAGTTTCTTTATGCATTCTACTGTTGATGGACATTTGAGTTTCTTCCACTTTGGCTATGTAATGAACTCTGATGTGAATATTGTTGTTCTTGTTTCCTGTACACATATTTCTGTTCAGTTGATGGGAATGGAATTACTGGGTCATTGAAATTTATTAGATTATGCCACTTTCTCAAAACAGTTGTATTTTCACTTCACCAGCCGTGTGTGAGTTCCCATTGTACTGCAGTCCATACCAATATTTTCCATTTGTCAGAATCTTGAATTTCAGACTTCCTGATGGTGTGTGCTTGTATCTTGTAGTTTTATTTTGCATTTCTCTGATTATGAATGAAACTGAACACCTTATGTATATTTATTGGCCGTATGGATATCTTCTTTTATGAGTTCTTTTTGAGTCTGTAGTCCATTTTTCTGTTGAGTTGTTCTCCTTAATCATTTGTTGGAATACTTTGTATAGTCTTCATGCAAGCTTTTTACTGGTAGTATATGTTGCAGAAATATGCTTTTGTGATTTGCCTTTTCTCTCTCTCAATTGTAATTTTTTGTTTGTTTTTTAGAAATATCAAGGTTTCATCCTAAGATCATTCAGCAACAGTAAAATAATTCTGAGAGCCTGCTTTTAATTTAAGTGGGTTTAGTTCCTCAATTCCAAAGTTTATAATCACTTTAATATGATCTGAAAAAAAAGAAAAATAGTTCTATAAATCATGATGTTTATAAAAATTAATTCTTTCACATTGTAATCCAGTTTTGGAGATAGCCACCAGTAAATTGTTAACAAATGTCTATACTTGGACATATCACTTAAATATTTAGAGCATTGGGTTTTTCCAAACAGTAAAAAAGTCCTTGTCTTATCTACCTTGCAGAGTTTGTTGGATGCCGTATCAATGCTAGCTAATACTAACTTAGAATATGGTTATTCACTTTTTAAGTTCTTCACATCCTGGTGACACAATAAGATACCTGACCCACATCATTTACTGTGTGACCTAGGGCAAGTTAACTTAATGACTCTGTGCATTAGTTTCTTTAGCTATAAAAATTGTCTAATACATCAATTCCATAACTTCATTGTTACAGATGATAACCTATTGCTTAGACAGAATAAATGAGAGGATTTATAAACGAAAGGACTAAGCAGATGATTTAGTTTTCCTAATTCGTCAAGTCAAGGGGAGAGTTATAAGTACTATATGTTCTGGGTAAAATTACAGCATCACCTCAAAGAGACAGCCACTTACCCCTTGGTTAAATATTCTTCCTAAAGTATTTCTTGGAGATCAGAGTGGGTGGGGATGTAGTCATGAGCCTGACCTCACGTTACTTATAGGGAAATGAGTGGTCTGCCCATTTATTTCATTGAAATAAGCATACACGGCCTTTAGGGAAGACTTCCATTGTCCTTCAGGTAATATAAGTCTTTAAACTTCATTCTTTTTCAGAATTTCTCAAAAATTTTCAAAATTTTGGCTGTTCTAGTGTGCAATGTGAAATAAACTGGAGTCACTTATGACAAGGTTTTTTTCTTTTTAA